CCCACGTTTTACACATGATGGTATATAATCTCAAGCAATTTATTAATATCCCCATCTAACATAAATGCATATATATAGTATAGAAGCCTTCTGCTGTGTCCACATAACAACGTTTAAATATTCCACTTTTTTGTCAATTTTTTTGCTTTTATAAAAACTTTCCTAGTCTTTATGTCCACTTGCTTCTTTTATTGCTGAAGGAGTATTCTTTCTGTTGAAGGTTGGAATCACACTGTAGGATTATAGTGTGATTCGTGAATGAAGGTTCCCCCACCTCTTTAATTTCCATCTCTCTGGTCCCCTTTTTTTTTCAAGTGGGAAACAAAAGACAAGTCCTTTAATTAAACACCCTTATATATATATTTATATCATGATTCACCCATTGCTTTCGATTCCTGTGTTTAACTCCTTAATACCGTCCTTTTCCCCATATATATAAATATATATATGTTCTGGTAATTTTTTAATTATTCATTCAGGTTCATTTATTGCATCTCTTGTTTTATCACACCATAATGATCATTATACTGCATGCAGTTTTCATTTGCCTTGTCGATTCAGCTTCAAATGAACCCATTATATTACCTGTCATCCTTAATACATAAGAGCAAGATTATCAGTTTGAGAATATTAAAGAAATTAGTTAAATTAGTTAATTGTAACAAATATAAGTTGTCTTTCCTAAATTAAACTACCATTTTTAACCATATGGGACCCCTTATAATCAATAGAGATACTTTAAAGAGAATATTATAAATTTAAAAGATAAAATGAATTGAGGCCTTACATTTAGAATCAAATATAATTTTTAATTAGCTTTTATGTTAAGAACCGGATAGTATATCCATGTATATACACTAATGATGGAAAAAGTATATATGCTATAAGTTAACTAATATTTATATAATATGCATGTAAATAGAAAAACTTGTAAAATTATGAATAGTACAATTTTTCAAATGAGCCCAGTTTTTTGATAATAGTTCAAGCTTAATCATAATGATGTTTCTATTAAATATTAATAAAAATTTAACAAAGTGTTGACAATTCCCAACGGGAAAAAATAAACATATTTTAAAAATAAATACTATTTTTACCTTTTCAGGGCATTTGGATTTGTTTGGGATAAAATCTCGATTCTATTTTAATATATTTTGACTTTAGGAGGTAAATGTCTACTTTTTCGACCAGAAAAAAGAAAAGAAATCAAAAGAAAGAAAGCAAGCTCTGCTGGCAAGAAATAAAGAAAGGTAATAGAGTATTAATATATATAAAATGAAAAATATTTCAGCCTAAATATATTCACAGACTTTGACCAATTCCGCATTGATACATTAGCAGGGAGGAAGGCCGTGTAAATGGTTTGTTATAAGAAGAATATGACCGACACACTATTTACAACTGTGCACAACAGTTGTGTGTGTCCACATATGGATTTGTTTGAAGACACAACAAAATGGAACGCCGGGGAGGGGGCACAAATTGATGAAATTAGGACATGGAAGGCATTGTTTGTTTGGGAAGACAAAGGTAGGGCAGGTAGGACACAAAAGGGAGCTTTGCATGTCCTTTAACAGATGCTAAAAGAAGCGCTTCCTTTTTGCATCACTAATCCACCAATCCTCTCTTGATTTGAAACCATTTCCATTTGACGAGACCACTTCCCTTTTATCATTGTTTTCCCATCAACAACCTTACCTTAATCTCTATTCATTTTCCTACACACAAATGTATAGTACTCGGTAAATCTTTCACAATATTATTGATCTCACACACAGATTTGGTACTACCATGTGGTTTGACTAATAATAATGAGGTTCATGGTGTTTTTTTTGGCTTTTTTTTCCTTTTTTTTTTTTTTTGCTTTCACCCTCCCCCGCCCGAAAGAAAACATCAAAGTAATTAAAAGAAAGTGAACGAGGGTTTGGTTTTCTCGTGAACTAAAAACAAGCTAGGTTAGTCAATACTTCAAAGTCTGTGTGGAAAGCTCGATGTGTAGAACGGGAAGAGCCATAGAATGTGGGACATCATGTGTCTTTCAGACCCACACACACATCCCCTTCTTCACGTATATATATATAAGGGCCCATGAAAAACGATGCATGGCCAAATCAAAATCAAAAGCTCTCTCTCTCCCCCCCCCTCTCTCTCTAACCAACGCCTTCTGTCCCATCTCCTTCCACACACACCCATGAAGTTGAGGGGAATGCTGTCTGGTTCGAGACCATTCTTCTGCAGTCTGCACCGAATCAAAGAACAGCCATTGAATGATCTCGGACCAGGCTTCATTCCCCCCAGCTCAATTTCATTCTTCTGATGAAGCATATGGTTTCATGGCTGATTGGCATGTAAGTTTTCTCCACTTTATAGTTACTTTTTCTTCAGAATTTCTTTCTGTTCTTAATTTAGCAGCAAAAATAACCGCGAAACCCCAACTCCGAATGTCTGAATCAAACGCCAATGGCTATATGAACGTTCAAAGCTGATTAACTGCATTTTGACTCTGAATTACATTCCCGTTTAGCATCTCTGGAAAGTCCTTCTGAATAAGTTTCAAACAAGTCAGCACACCCTTTCTAAACAATCTGAATAATCCTTATCATTTGTGTTTGAAGGACTTGCTTGTCTATATGTATGTTTTGATCATCCCCAAGTAATTATCAGTCGAAAAACAGACATGTGGGAGATCATGATCTAGAAAGAGAAACCAAACATTGGATAAAGCTATCTCTGTATCTTTTTGGCTGTCGAATTGTTGTCAAATTGGCTTTGCTTGTAGAGAGTTGCAAAGAATATTATTCGTTTTGGTGAACTTTCACTTTATTTGATGCATCAGAGAAGGGAAGGAAGAAATTCTCGGTATCAAATCCAGCAAAGTATAGTGTTTTCTTTTTAAAAAGAAAACTGAAAAAATTTAAATCTTTATTTTCAACCTCAAGGCTCCCTAGTTCATGCATTCTTCACTTTTTAACCATGTGGGACTGTTCTAGTTGGATCTCATTCTCAAACCTTTATGACCCACCACCATTTACTACATTGAGGCCACTTATCTCCACAATCCCCGTGTGAAGTAATAAAAAAACCAACTTTTTTGGATAGCTACATATGATCTCATTAATAGCAATCTCATGTCCCTTTTTTAATTATAGTAACATATATAGGAAGCGAAGGGAGTATATCATGCAGTTTCAATGTTTCATGCTGAATTTTAGTAATAACAATACATTTATACACACATACACACACAGAGACTGGTTTTTCTGTCTTCTTTACTTGAATTGGTATGTTTTAATAAAGTCTACGAGGAAATGGAGTTTTGTATACAAAATATGAGCCAAATTACCAATTGGGGCGATTCTCTAATGCTGTGCAACCCCACTTTGTTTCTGCAGCAAGATCAAAGGATAGCAAGATGTACTCATATCATTTTTACGTATCGTTACATTATTTCTTTCATTCATGAATAAATCCAACAAATTAAAACTAGTTAGCCCTTTAATTTTCCAGAGATCACCATGCATTTTTCTGACACACACACACACACACATATATATAAAGATCAGTTTCGTCTGAATTAATTAGGTTTTTTTCTTTTCTCCGGGGATGTTTGGTTGGTGCGCAATGATGAGAAATGACATCAGATTGAAGTGTTTGAGGCGTGAGCAAATAAATGTATATGGTGATGACTCTCCTGTGTGTGGGTGTGTATGGGGTAGGGAAGAGTCAAAAGAGAAGAGAGACACATTGAGTGTGTTATCACAAACACAAAGATAAAGGGGATTCCTATGTTCGATAAAGCCCTTTGGAATTACTCTTACCTGCTACAACATAATTTCATGCATTCCCACGACACTTTTCAATGTGCTTTTTATTTTATTTTATTTTTGTGTGACTTGACGATTTCCAAAAACGAAAATCTCACAAAGGCCTTTGAAAAGTCCTCTTGTAATGAAAAAGACTGAAAGATTGATTTTGTTGCCAATCACTGTCCACATCTGCTTTTGCCTCTCCCACCCACAAACATATCCTCTCACACGCTTTTCTTTTTATAACCAATTTATACATTGTTTTCAATTCTTTTGCGTGCATTAAAATTTTGAATCTTACTTATTTCTTCCTCTCTTACTTTCTCTTTCTTAACACTGTGGTTTAAATTTAATTAATTTTCTAATAATCTGAAAATAATGGATGTTGCGAAATCACGAGGGTCTCCCACAATGGGATGAAATTACCCAGATAGAGAGATTAAAAAGCGACCAAATAATATCTTTTTTACATATTAGAATCATTTCACTCCTAAATTTAAGGTTTATTCTCTTTTTATTAACTATATTCAGTTAAATTATATATTTTTTGTCATTAAATTCTTCAATTAAACTATGAAGTGTAAACTTTTTTCTTAAAAAAATGTTATCACACGAGGTCCAATTATTAAAAAAAAATTATACTATTTGCAATGACGTGTTTTTTTTTTTAATGAATCAATGACGTGCTTATAGCAATGAAATTGAAACATAAAAAAAGTGGTGACGCTTTTTTTATTTGAAAAAAATAATAATAAACTGATATCACGGGTCAAATAATTCATCTAGTCTCTCTCTCTTTTTTTTTTTTATCATCACTCTGGGCCAATCTATTTCAAACTGTTTGATTTTGGACCTATTCGGACTAGGTGGCCCATTTGTTTTTCCCAAAACCTCCTTTTGTTTCTCTACCAAAGCCCTGCAAGTTCGTCGGAACCAGATTCTAAAATCCAATCCAAAAACAGGCTGTCACGGCCTCACCTTCCTCCACATATCACGCGCCAAATGGAGCGTACCATCACTTACCTGTTTTACAATTACCTCATGGGACGGCTCGTCGGTGAACACGAGGTCCAACTCATCGCCGCACAGCCAACCTAACGGGTCTAAAGATCTCAGCACATCGACGGCGGGAAATCTTCCACGCCATCCTATTAACCTTAATTTCTACATTCTCTCTCAAAAATTTCCATGAAAATGCCTTTCCCTCCAGTTCATTGATCACGAAACATGATTACGGTTTCGTTCCCGGATTGAGATGATCCATGTGGTTCGAATTTGTTGGCTCAGGGTCAGATAGCGAGGAGTGAAAGCGATCTTTCAGTTTCTTGGGTTAATTTTCCTGCTTATTTTCGTGGGAAAATTTTCTACCCGGAAAAATGGGGGAGCCTTTCTTTGATCTTATGGAGTTTTTGAAGAAACCTTCGATAACCGAGACATTAGTCGACATTTTGCTATGTGCAGTTCCGATTTGGCTCGCAGTCATGATCGGCATGCTTATCGGCTGGGCCTGGAGGCCCCGGTGGACGGGAATCGTGTTCCTCGGCCTCCGTGGTAAGTTTCGGTTCCTCTGGACGGCTCCACCGGGCTTTGGCGCTCGGCGGTTATGGTTGGCATTTACAGCGCTGTCTGCGTTCTCCATTTGCCGCACAATGTGGTCCAATTTCAAGCGGAAGGGCAAAGGACAAACTGTTTGGCCCCCGGAACAGGAGAATGTAGCGGCAGCAATGCCAAAGGTTGGAGAAGGAAGCATTGAAGCTGCAGGGTAGGTGTTTTTTCCCCCTTTTTGTTAGATTGATTTTACTTCATTGATATTATGCCGGGGACATGAGTTCCGCTGAATTAAATTTCTGGTTTGAGCCACGAGGAATGAATTTCGTGTAAGTCCCATTATGGTTCGACCTGCCGATCAATATGGCAACAGCAGCGCAGCTGTCATTGATAAAGTCTTTATTTTCCATAATCTGAGTGTCGGTGGCTGATAAATGGTTTTGTGAGGTTGAGCGAAGTTCACGTGTTAATGAGCTAGACATGGTGGTCAAGCTCGTATTTTGATCGATGATTCTTGTGAACGCCCTTTTCACATAGTGGGTGAAGAATGGTTTTGGTGCATAGTTGAATTAATCTGATGGCTAAAATTTGACTCGATATTTGATTGAACCTATAAATGTGTTATTAAATAATTTCCTTGTTCTCCTCCGTGGTTATCTCTTCAAATCACCGTATTGGATTCCCCCGTATTTTATTCATGCCCGATGCCATGCTGACAATGAATAGAAATGTGGAATTGGATTTATAACTTTAACAAGTCCTGCCGTTAAACTCGAGTAGTGAAGCTTGGCAAATATTGGAAATTACTGCACGCTGCACTGGTTTTCGCGTGATCTAGGCAGTCTGTTCACGATTCACTTTTAGATTTTTTTTTTTTTTAAAATAACTTTAGATGTTAATTGTCCAAAAGCGAATGGAATATTGCTAATTCTTGTATTGTAATTATAGTACTTGTGGAAGAAGAGGGTGTTTAATTCTTGTATCTTTGCTGTTGATATCTGTTCATGATTAGCATGCTTGTATATTTTGATTAATTACTTGAGGAGGAACGGAGTGTTCTGTTCTTGTTAATATTGGGTTGGGACACATGCATTAGGTCTAATGTTAAAGCTGGTGAGAAAGAGCGGGATGTTACTGAGGCTGATTTGGAACATCTCCTCCATCTTCTCGAAGGGAAGGATGGAGTGATGGACTGGCAAAGCTTGATGGAGAGGTCTACCCCGAATATGGCTTACCAAGCTTGGCGTCATGAGCCTGAGGTTGGTTCTGAGTTTTAATATTTGTTTCATTTATTATCTTCATATGATAAGATGCCAACATACATCACCAGTATTAACGGAGAGAAATTTTATATGACACCTTTTCCTACTTGTTGAACAGGGATTGATTATCATTCATGTGTGTTTGCGTTTCAAGCCTGTTGATTATTTTCAATTTATTTTTGTCCAGTTTTAAGCTAAAATGATGTTAGCTGCTGACGTTGAATTTGTTATCAGACTGGTCCTACAGTTTACCGCAGCAGAACTGTCTTTGAAGATGCGACGCCAGAGTTAGTCAGGGATTTCTTTTGGGATGATGACTTCCGTCCTAAATGGGATCCTATGTTGGCATACTGCAATGTTTTGGAGGAATGCCCTCGTGCAGGGACAATGGTTGTTCACTGGATAAAAAAGGTACCTTGGCCAAAGATCTAAGGTACTTGTTATGTTAATTGTTTATGGCCATATTGTTCACTCATGCCTCATTGGTTCAACCAATCTGCAGTTCCCCTTTTTCTGTAGTGATCGAGAATATGTTATTGCTCGAAGAATATGGGAGGCTGGAAATTCATACTACTGTGTGACAAAGGTACGGGTTAAAACACCATTTACCCGATTTTTGTTTTTGCCTTTGCTCTTGAGTATGTTTCTTTTCATCTCACCATGGCTCGCACCTATACTTCTATCTCTATCACTGTGGAAAGATAGCCTTATTCATCTGAAAATATTTTATTGGGAGGTTCAATTTTTCACTTTGATTCAAGTGGGAGCCAGAAGCGCTTCATGAATTGCTAGAAAATCTCCTATATGATCAATTTCTCATTTCTTGTGGTTACTCATAATATGATATTACTTTAGGCAAAACTCATAAAATTAAACGTATATCTGTTATAAGGTTCTTCTGTTAAAAATAGGCACGGTGGATATTTTCTTTAACGTCACCGTTCTACTAACAACTCTATTAACTGACATTTTCTTCTTTCCCAAAAGAGAAAAGAAAGAAAGAAAACAAAAGGACAAAGAAGTGCGCCACATATCTATGTCAAGGAGCCTTCTGTCTTTTCCCATCCCAGCAAACTCGACATCCCCCCCCCCAAAAAAAAAAGGGCACCTGTCTGGCCCTTCAAGAGTTATTTCCTTTCTTCCCATCTGGATTATGCCAATCCCTCACTTTCTGATTTGCAACAAGAACATCCGGGGATTTGTTGTGATGTCTTATTGGGGTTCTTACAGTGCAATCTTAACATTGTTGCTCTGATCTATTAAGAGCCTTGAGAGGACCTGAATGTTGAACATCATAACAATGGATGGTAACTGGAATTGAAATCTCCCTAATCGTGACTGTCTGGGATGTGCTTTTTAAGTTCGTGGTCACTCAACTATACAAGGCTGTGTTGAGCATCAAAGTCATGAAGAAGAGCATTGGGATGCCATTTTCTCCCAACAGATAAATTAAAACCCAGAATTGAAATGCAACTCGCACTCTCTTGGTGTTTAGAGTAAAAATATGTGGTGTTGAAATAATGCAGGCGTATATTCCTAGTAAGAAAACTCGATAGCAAACGTATATGTCTTCTCCTTTGATTTTCTGTGCTTTTATATTACTATAAGCCTATTTGGTGCTAACAACAAATCAGAGAGGGGGTCATAAAATACATAAGCGCTAGGTTTTCTTACTGTTTCAGCTTCATTGCTGTAGGGGGTGCCTTATCCAAGTTTACCCAAGCGAGACAAGCCCAGACGAGTAGATCTTTACTTTTCCAGTTGGGTCATCAAACCTGGTAGGAATCGTTGACAATTTCTCTTTACTGTTATTTGCTTTTTGATGGTAACTTGTCAGTTAATGGTATTTCATCTTCTTAACATGCAAAAATCCTGTTGCAGTGGAATCTCGCAAAGGAGATGGACAGATGTCTGCCTGCGAGGTTACCCTTTTACATTATGAAGACATGGGGATCCCCAAAGACGTCGCGAAGCTGGGCGTCCGCCATGGGATGTGGGGGGCTGTTAAAAAACTTCACTCTGGAATGAGAGCGTATCAGAATGCTAGGAAAACGGAGGCATCCTTGTCAAGATGCGCACTGAATGCAAGAATCTCAACCAGGATCTCTATAGAAAATATGGAGTCGTCTGAGCCTTCTTTAGCGCAGGAAGAGAGAGATCAAGCCCTTAGAAATTGTAGGAGACAAGATGGTCCTGGCTTGGACTGGAAGTGGTTGGCTATTGGTGGGACTGTTGCTCTGGTTTTGGGTATTCACGGTGGTGCAGTAGGGAAAGCATTGTTAGTGGGTGCAGGGCGCAGAATTGCACGGGGCTGAGTGGTCTAGAATCTAGTAAACAAGAGTTTCTATTTGTTGTCATTTTGTAGATTCATTATAGTTGTAATCTATAACAGTATATTCTTTTATATTCGATGATGTACTTGTGCGATTGGTTTTTTCATATTACATGAGTCTCGTAGATTGATCAGACCCACGTATTTTACAGTAGACGGCGCTTTGATTCCATGCATCTCGACAAGAACTCCTATGCATGGAAGATGGCTATGAAAATTTTATTGAACAAATGTACTAGTGATACCATTCTAAATGTAAGATTTAGTGAGTAATATAATACTATCCCCCGTTCTAATTATAAGAACCAGTTGACTAATTTGAAGAGATTAAAAAAGTAAGTTGAGTTAATTATTTGTCCTAAATAGGTGTTGTTTTTCTTAAAATATTTATGCTAATCAAGTATATTGATTAGAACTATCATTATTAGAAAGGTTACTTTGGAAAAAAATGTATAAATATGAGAGACAAAATGGATTAGGATCTTATATTTAGGACCAAAATAAAAGTCAAATGGGGTCTTATATTAAGGACCAGAGATAGTACTACTTTCGATTTTAAATATAAGAGCTGGTTGACTAATTTAAATAGATTAAAAAATAAGTTAAGCTAGTTATTTGTAATAAATAGATTTTGTCTTTCTTAAAATACCTTGCTAATCAAGTTTATTGATTAGGATTGTTATTATTAGAAGGACTATTTTGGAAAAAGAAATGGATCAATATGAGAGACAAAGTGGATTGAGATTTTATATTTATGGCCAAAATAAAAATTAAATAAAGTCTTATATTAAGAACTGGAAGTAGTAATTTACAGTATAAATTAGATCTTATGTTTATGAGCAGATATAGTATATTGGAATAGAAAAGAATGTTAGGTATTGGAGGGATGAGAGTAAAAATAAAATAAATAAATAGGGGGATATTAAAGATGAGAATGCTAAAATGGGCTTTACAAGAATAACTAAATTTGTAATAATTGTGTATAAAGAAAAGTTAGTATTGCATTCAACGAGAAGAAGAAGATAAAAAAATCAAATGAGGTAGTATATGACAGCAATAAAGGAGAATAATACTCTTCTAATTCTTAATATAAAACCTAATTATTAAGTTGATCTTGATTATAAATATAAGACCTATTTATCACATTTATCAAGTTTTTCTAAATTATCGCTATTGATACTCCCTCAACCAATCAAATAGGATATGGAAAGAGGATATTAAGGAAGATGATTATGGTATTTTAGAAAAAACATATCACATTTTTTATAATTAACTGACTTACTTAACTTCTTTAATCTAATCAAATTAGTTAAATAGATCTTATATTAAGAAGGTAAAGAGTATATGACATTATAATTTTTCAGTTGAGAACTGAAACCTCCCTACTCCCGCAAAGGTCATCAAAGATCAATTAAAAAATGAGTGATCAAAGAATATAAGCTTGAGACTACAATTAGTTGATAACAAATCTATCTCTAGTTCCTCCTCTTTTTTCCCTTTTTTTTCTTTTTTTGTTTTTTGGGTATTAACTGAACACTTCGCCCTTCATCGCTTCCATGATTTTTTTTTTTTTGGGTGTACGTCCGGGGTTTTATCTCTCACGGCCAGTCATTTGAAGACTTTCCCCAAACAATTTTAGACCGTTATTGACGGTTATGAATAATTATCGTGCTGTGTTATTTACTATTCATGCAATCATGCATATTAATTTTTTCACAAACCAGATCGATAAAAATCCATTAATACATGGTTAATATTTAATATCCATACCCATTTCAATGTTAATATAAAAACATAAAGTTTTAAATAAATTAATTATTTACAACTAATAAATAATACAATTTATTTTTCCCACTTCATAGTTCATAACGTGTATGAGAGTTGTTTAAAAATTTATTGATTTGCATTGTACTGGGATCATTTATGATTCACATGGTTTGCTAAAAGTTAATAAATTGAACAAAAAATAATTTGAATGTATTAGAAAAATCTCACAACTAATCCATCCATCATTTAGTTTAGTCTTGCTCATTTGTCCAGCGAATGGATGCTCTAAAACCAAAGGGCAAAAAGAAAATAATGTTGATTGGATAGCACTTTGATGTAATGTTCCCTTTGATAAAATTTAATTTATAAACATGATTAGCATAAATGAAAATTATATAATTCACACGAACTAAAGTGAATTCTAAGTTCTTTTTTTAAAAATATTTTTATTGCATATTACTGGTGATGAAATAGATCTTCTCCTACTTCCAATTAATCACATGTCACTCGTACATTTTTTCCCCACTCATTCTTCCCCTCATCCTCTCTATAAATAATGATATATTTGGGGAAAAAAATACTACTCCTCCGGTCCTAATTATAAGACCCAATTGACTTATTTGAGGAGATTAAGGAAGTAAGTTAAGTTGGTTATTTATAATAAATAAGTGTTGTCATTCCTAAAATATCCTTGCTAATTAAGTATATTGGCTAAAACTATCATTATTAGAAGGATTATTTAATTGATTTTTTAATTTGTGTAACTTGATTATTTATAACTCATAAAAAGTATCGAAAAGTAATATCAAGCTGCTAGGAAAATTAGGAATTGGTCTCCTGTGGATTGTGAAACGTGTTGGGTGAAATAAATAAAGGGACAAAGACCTGCTTCCTTACAGGGACATGAAGGGATTTGATAATGATAATGCAAAATGGTCCAAAACATTAGGCAGGAAGGCTTGTGGTTCACATTCAAAATCCTCTCATCCAAATCAAATAATTGCTCCCTATTTAGTGCAACCCTTCCAATTTGCACCCAAATTATGTCGGTATTCTTTTCCATTTTACACCACATTATTAAATTTAATTTAAAGGTAAATTAAACCATCACGTCGGAGACCCTTTTCTCTTTCTGCTATTATTGTTTGGTGTATTTTTATTTTTAAATGTTCATTTAAGAAATTAATGGATATTCTGAGAATCAGATTGCTGCGTCACTTTTATCTTATCCAATGAATACACTCCAAAATCTAATAAATAAATAACTATTTTATTTGAATATAATATCATCATTGTAAAATTTAAAGTACACTGAATAAATGAGCCCACATTTACATGTTGAAGCTTTAGATGTGAATGCCAACAAACAAAAAGAACACTACTGGCTTAAGCAAAAGAGATAGAAATAGGATAAGCTAAACATGAACAAACAAATAGATGACAGGAGGGATGATCTATTATTTTGTCCTTTAAACTAAAAGCCAATGAAGTGGATGCAATTTACAATGGACCTTTACAGCTGATATTCCAAATGATTGAAGTGACTCTAATCACGGCAAGTGGAAAATTTTCATCTCATTGTACTGAAACATCGCTCCAATTTGGGCCTCCTTCGCATGAAATTCGTACACGTGGCATCTGCTTAACCTCACATTCCTCCATAGTTTTAATACCTTCAAGGAACTGGGGCAGTACATAGCAGAATCTGCAAGGTACATATTGCAAAATCTCTCTCTTTCTTCCTTTCGCTAACTGAGAAATTCCACTGACTGAAGCATATCCCCTTTTGCATACCTTTTCTGTTGGGCTTCCCTCTGTGTTTAAATATACAAAGGTGTGTTTCTCTCATCCTTCTCATTCTCTTCTCTTCTGCTAGATTTTGATGTCTTTTAAAACCTTGCCTCAGTCTTGAATCAGTCTCACCTGCATTTCCTTGCATATCAGATGGGTGAAATCTTTCAGGATTTTCCCTGATTTCTTATTGAACGTGATTTTGTCTTGCTAAAAGATAATGGTAATTTTTCGCTGCTTATTGCTAATGTGGTGCTGTTTGCGACTTTCTTGGTTTGACTCAGGCAGGAATAACGTAGATGGATTAACCTTTTTGATACCCAATTGGAAAAAAAAAACTTTTAAATGACTGGCTTGATGTATATGATAAGCTGAATTGACCTATTTCATGGACAAATGGGATAATACGGTTCATCTTTTTGGTCTTATTATTTATCACTACTGAAATTGTTTTTTATGATGATCTCTTCCTGAATTGGAGAAGCTTTATAATTGACTTGTGAATCTCCATACTTCATATTCAAGATCAGCCTTTAAGATAAATAAGTAATTCAGTTTACTTTGATCCCTGGTATACTTCTATGTAGCCAAGTATAAGGAAGAGAAAGTACTAAAGATCACTAATCCTCCTAGGACAACTTTGTGAAAATTCATCTCCAGATTGCCATCTCAATTTGTTGTCTACCACACTAGATCTTTGATCTACGTCTGTAACTGTTTTGTCATGTCTATATAAATTTTTAGCAGCATCAACTATGACCTAATTCAAATCTCTGTCTTAAAATCTATGGACCATTGGCAAAACAAGAAGCTTGAATAGTGCGAGTTACGTGAAGACCCATTATCCTTAAGGATCATTCTACCACATCAGATCAATCTTATCGTAGCAATCCCCTAGGATTAAATAGACCCTTCCTGGATTAACAAGGAAGCTGGACAAGAAGCATAAAAATAGAGTAACCCAGAGAGAGTGTGTTTGGTGGTAGTGTCACAAGGAGGGAACAGATGACTATTATATATGTTGTAGCCTTATTGATGATGTTAATCATAGGAGAATGAATAGGAATGTATTGGAGGTTTCTAAAATTAATTCCAATTTAGGCACAATGATTTGTTGGCTACATTAATTAATTTTATTAAAATATAGTCAAACCTATATCATTCATTTTTAAGTATTCATTCATATATACAAACATCCAACGCCCAGTTGTGTTGTGCCTTTGTCTTGCATCTTGCCAAACTCATATATGTTACTTAGATGGGAAGCGATTTTCTCAGGGAGAGAAACATGATACAATTGTGAAGCTTGGATGATAGAATTAACGCCATGAGGATATCAAGAGAGGAGCCAATTAGATAAATACATAGTGGAAGGAGAAAATTAATGATACTGTTACTAGGACTAACATATCTACATTTAGCATACTTTTACCAGGGGATTAAATTTTCTTAAAGAGTTATGCTCATTTGCAGTATTACGTATTGAGCAATAAGAAGGTTAATTTGAACTGCAATCATATGTCAGGAGCTACTGGAGATTTTATCCTTCTAAAGATGAATGCTGGAAATGAGAAAGCGGGACCAAAGATAGATTTGCAACTTGGTTTGAATTATTCTAACCATTGCATCCTGAAAACTGACCCAGGTGCAGGTGCAAAT